TAATGATTCAATGCTGAAAATTGAATTTAGTCAAATATCTGCGAGCAGAAATTGTTTTCTTGAATATGTAGATAACATTTTTTACATTTACAATAAAAATACTTTTTATTGAGTAACAAAATCAACCTTCTGCAATTTTCTTTGTATGACATCCTTTCAATTTACATTGTTCTCCACGTCTTATATCAACCATTACATTTATATTTCAACAAGCCTCTCGAACAAAATTTCAATGAACTTCCATAAAGGGTCAAAAGTTTCTTATCGATTTATTTATGTTATCGTAGTGATGTCCATCCTCTTGTTTTGAAATATTTAGATGGGTTCGATACGAAAATGTTTTCCTTTGTTTATGATAGTTTAGTGACGAGAAAGAATTAAGGATTGGTTTTGCTAAATTGGCTTCTTCTTCTTAGTCTTCAATGCCTTGAAGCTTTAGCTTTAATCCTAAAGGCATTCGTTGCTTACAATATTACGAGACCTTTTAATGTCACGAAATCTTCGCTTAATTTCATCCCTTGAGAGAATGTCTCAATCAGTTCTTTTTCTTATGGATACATTATGAAAGATTCTCAAAGCCAAACGAAAAATTTCTTTGTTTGAAATTGTGGTTTCCAAGAGCGTTGGATTGTCATTTCAAATCTTTCATGATTAATGTCATAAAATAAAATAAGGATTTACTTGTTAAGCCAAGCGCGAAACTAAAGAAATCCTAACGAGATTCTAAGAACCGCTCATGAATGATCTTTAGGTCCGAACATTTAATTTATTTGATGTAGGAAGGAAATAGCGATGGACAAACTTCCTGATGTAATCAGACCTTTTGACCAGCAGGAAACATAAAAAGCGCACCTTTGTGAGTTTGTATGAAGAGACTGAAGATTTTGGTAAATTTTTAAAAAATAAACAAATTTTTCGATCATCAGTTCGAAAGTTTTATGGCGCATGTCGTGGTGAAAGTTTTTGAAGTGAATAAATGAAAGAACATTGCAAGCATCACTTTAATAGGAACAAAACAACTTAAAAGAAAAGTCAAAAATATTTAAATCGGAAATTGAAAAAAAATTCTTTCCAATCGAATGAATTCCAAAAGATTCTTTTTTGAAGTTGAAGTTTGCCAGCAACTTTAAACGGTTGATGAGACTTTTTCATTTCTGTTTTCTTCATATTTAAAATTCTTTTCACGGTTTACATAAATATTAATTTATTAAGACTTTGGTTGATGAGACTTTTTCATTTCTGTTTTCTTCATATTTAAAATTCTTTTCAAGGTTTACATAAATATTAATTTATTATAATTCTTCTGAAGATCTTAAAGTTTCGTTACAAAATTTGTGAGACTTTCTCATTTATTCGAATAATTTCTTGGCGAACCATCTGCATAGAATTAAGTTCTCCATTGCAATGGGTTTTGTGGAGAATTAAGAATTCATTTCGATGAGCTCGCAAATGTGATGAAATGAGATGAAAAACTGTGCAACTAATAGAATGCAATACATTTTAAATAGAATCTGGAAAGAAGAAAGAAAGAAAGAACTTCTCATCGAGTGCAAGAACGTGACGGCGACGAATGATGAGTTTTTATTTCATTCCATCATTTAATCCATTGTATAAATGAAATTAAATTCATCATCACAGCTTTTCAAACAAATTATTCAAGCTTGAATGCAGTAAGCTCACCAATAAAAGCTTTTGATTGAAAAGTAATAAAAACGAGTGGAAATATGAAATTCACAAATTCAAATATGTAATAAATTTGCATCAAAGAATATTTTATGTCACATTTAGATATATTGGTCAGGAAAAAGACCTTCAAAGTTAAGAGAAGGAATTTCAACCCTTCATATGCGTTTACAGGCAAACCTTTTACAACTATTGAAGTTCAAGGGCGGACGTATCATAAATATGAATTTCATTCTATGAAATCAATTTATCTTCTGCTTGTAAGAAAAAAAGCCCAGAAATGGAATGATTCAACATAAATATCCAGAAAGAGCTTTGTGAAATCTTTTAGCATACTTTGTGTGGAAATTAAGAAAGCAAAGCCATTTTTCACAGATCCGAATGCTCTTAACATTAGCCGCTAAAAAGGCAATCGAAAGCATGAACATTGTTGCTAAGGTTGAGTAAGTTCAGATACAACGTTCGGAAAATATTAAAAAGAAGAGATTAATGGGATTTCCTGATTTTCCCCAACGAATTTCCAAATTAACGTCACTTCGAAGTCTATTCAAGAAGACCGCGACACGATCTGAATTCCTTCACATAGCTCTAAAACGACGTTCAGTTTTCATTAAGTCATCGAGATTTTGTTTCGTTCGATCTTGTGTTATTTTAGGATTGTCGAGTACAACAGCTGATGGAATAATTCAATGCAAATTCGTTACGATACAAAAACTTAAGACAAGAAATTTTCTCTTTCGGGGTTTCACGAAAGTTATTCAATGAAAAGTGTTTAGAAATTTGCGTCTAAATATTGCGGGAAATTTATTGAAGAAACATTTGTCAGTGATGTTGCCGACATAATCTTTTTCGGAACGAATTGAACTACCTACACACTTCCTTTGCCGTTTCCTATAACAATAAATGTCTTAATAAAAATTCAATGTAATTTGAAGTCACCATCGGCAACAACAGAATACTCATCTTGACTACGAATAAGCGGATATTTCCTGTTATATCCGCCCCCAATATCCTTAAAGGGAAATATGAAATTCCACGCAGATTTCACACAATTGCTACCTTTCATCTTCAAATTTCTAGTCTTTTTCTTCATTTCCTTTCCACTTGATTAACATAAAATTTGCATAAAATGTTGGTGACTTGAAATAAATTCTTTCAGACCTAGCTCAGTGATAACCATGGCACTTTATGCATTGAGTTCTTATGAATCAATTCAACGACATTTCTCAAATCTTCCTTTTCGGTAAAAATTGATTGACTGAAAAGCTTTTTATAGCTTTTCTTTCCTTCATTCATTTAGCAGAATTTCGTTCAAATCAAAATCTATTTTCAATTTTTTTGTAAATTAAATTAGCGACACCTTCTTCAACTTCATTATTATTTCTTTTTAGAGATTTCCACATTTAATCATAAGATATTTCCATTTCCACAAGTCGAAATCAATCTTCCTTTTCCATCGGAAATGGAAAAAGAAATCGATCGGATGAATTAATCAAATGACGCTTGGGAATGGAAAGTCTTCTTCTGAGCTTACCCAATTGAATCTTCAATATTGATGTTCGGGACAGTAATCATTTCAATCAATGAATCCTTGTTGAAATTGATGAATCAAGCAAATATTAAGGGTTCTGAAAATGCATAACGAGAATTGATAGATTATTCCTTAATTTAAAATGAATAAGTAAGCTATTGATGGATGGAGGCATAAATTTTCGAATATCTAATACTTTTCATCGTTGCATAAATCCACACCAGATCAAATTGACAACTGATGATTGATTTCAAAAAAAGCAATTTATTCTATAATTCTCCAGCAATGCGAGTTTTACTAATTGGCATTTGTTGTATTTATCAATGTGGTTCGTTCCATTTGAATGCGTGATTGCCAAGATTAATGAGGAAGCCTTTATTTAAGTATCTTAATATCATGGTGATGTTTCGACTAAACATCTTACGCATTGATTTCCAATATTTGATTTCTTAACAATCATTCTAAGATATTAATCTTCGTTGTAACTACAGATGAAACATGACTTTCTGATAGATGATCTAATATCGCATTATCTAGCAATAAATTAGAAATTCAAAGAATATTAGAACTAATGAGCTTCGTTTGGCATGAATGGTTCGCAATCCGCTAGATAATTTCTTATGAATAATATTTATTCTCTTTAGATGTTTAAATATGAAATAGAGATCTGAGATTGTGTTCTATTAATATCCTCATGGAACATCTTTTTTTAAAAAATTAATTGATTCCCTGAATTCCCGAGAAATCATTACGTTATGTCCTCGTCATTGCAAAAGGTTTGTTTTAATTCTGAAACATTATAATTGGAAATAAGAGAACATAATTTTATTTCGATGTCTATTTTTAAACAGAATCGTTGCTAACGTCAATCTCTTAACTTAAATAAATTATTAACAATATTTCCTTGCAATTTCAACGATGAACTTTAAGTATTTTAGTATTTTAATTAATGTTATTGAAAATTTCTCATGATTTCCTCTTACTTTGTGCTTATCAAAACGACCATTAATGAATCCATTAGCACAAAATTTTCAATCCATTTAGGTATGAGATTTAAAGTTAAAAAGAAAAATAACTTTAAGTTTTTCATAGAATTTTTCCTTATATTTAATCGACAGCAGTTTCCCTTCATTATCAATCTGTCATTTATCTTATAGGAAAGTTGGAGCATGAACAGCACAACATGGTTTTTGTGACAAACGTGATGTGAGTTGTCTTCATTATCCATCATAGAAGATAGAAAAATTCGATTTCCCCTTAGAATCTTTTTAAATTTATTTTACTTGTTTGGTGACAAAAAGTGAAATCATCACGATAAAAATAAATTTATAAACACCGTTGTGAGTCTTTCTAACCATCAGAAAAGCAAAAAAAAAGATTTTAGATAGCTTAGACGACAAATATAATTTAATATGTCAGTCAAAAATTTTTCTGAACAGTTTTCTCGACACATGATTTTTTATCTACAAGGTTTTATTTCTTCTCAATTTCAATCAGGGATCGAGATTGATTTTGTTTTCCAAGTAGTTCATGTTAAGTTGTAAATATTTAATCAAGAAAAAGTTTTAAGCTCTGAATACGAAAACCCCCTGTATGGAATTCAAACCTTATTAGACATTATCAAGTAATTAAATTGATAAGAAAATATTTTACACTAATTACTTTATTGCATATCAAATTTGTTTACAATTGTTTGGAATTTTTATCAGCAATTTTGATCCCAGACGGAATCAAGGAAAGCACGTATCAGCGTAATTTATTGTAAACAATTTTAACAGTCATTATATTAAATTGCTACAAATCTACAAGCGACTTCTTCAGGATAGTTGCATACGCTCAGAAAGGGATCAAAATAAAGACCAGCTGGACATTCATGAAGAATTGCACGACACCAGTCACACTTGTAGAACAGCGTGCAGTCGAATTCATGTGGCAAGTGAACAACTTTTGATCCTTCTTCATTTCTCAAGGGACATCTTGGATCACAAATGTTTGAAATTGTTTCCCCATCATCTGTCACTATGGTGACTTCCAACTCAACCGTTGTTGTTTGACCATCAGATGCTGTTGTTGTTTCTCCTGATAACCTACAGTCAGCAATTTCTGGCCACTCACAACGATCAGCTGAAATACTCCAATGAAGATATTCAGGGCAATTTTGAAGAACGGCTCGTCCCCAATCACATTTATAGAATAATGAACAATCGTATTCATGTGGCAAGTGAATCACATTTAAAGGATCATTAATAAGTGGACATCTTGGATCATAACTGTTTGAAGTTGTTTCCCCATCATCTGTCACTATGGTGACTTCCAACTCAACTGTTGTTGTTTGTCCATCAGATGCTGTTGTTGTTTCTCCTGATAACCTACAGTCAGCAATTTCTGGCCACTCACAACGATCAGCTGAAATACTCCAATGAAGATATTCAGGGCAATTTTGAAGAACGGCTCCCCCCCCATCACATTTTTA